AGGCCCACGCCTGCAGGTCTCCCAGAGTAGAACCCTGTGATTCAGCCCCCCTGTTAGACCGTGTTTCCCGGTTACAGCTCTCCTGTTGACAAACTGTGTTCCTTTAGCTGGCCCAGCTGCTTTGGTTCCTGCTTTAGACTTCCCTGCAGGAGCTGTGAACAGTATGAAAATGCTGTGACTCCCAGCAGCTTATTGAAAACCCAGCATTGTTAATGTATCCATGGGAACATGAGCACAGTCGGAGAGCAAAGGGTTAAAACTACACAGCACCTGCATATAGGTTGCCTTAGAGCTGAGCACTTCTCTCAAGTCCTAAGTAAGTCCCAATTATCGCAGGAATCCTCCTGCATCTGGGCACTGGGTTACAGTCTGTTCCCCTGCAGACACTCTCCCCCCTTCCCCCTCAGCTTCCCGACAAAGCTGTTACCGGCACTTGCCTCCAAGTTCTTTCCTGTAAGGGCTCCCTGCTTGGATTTCCCCTCTCCCTCAGGGCTCCTAGCCAGCCTGTTGATCAGAGCTTAGTGGAATACCTTCAAAGCAATTGACACCTGTGTTATTTAAGCATCACCAAGGGGGGCTATCCAAAGCCACTGCCTGCTTCTTGCAGAAAGGCAGTGTTGAATTTCCCAGAGATATGTAAATCCACAATTCCTGGCACCCGGGTAACAGACAGCATGACTACTCCAAGCCACAGAGGTACAACTCACATTCATAACAATGCCATGGAATGATGCTGCCTGCATTCTTCCCATCTCCTGTTGGGCTAAAGCAGCTGGTTTTCACACTGTGGGTCCTGACCCAGTCCTGGCTGTGCGGGCGCTGGGTCTCATTGCTGCAGGGGGTTCAGGTGACCAGTGGGGGAGCTAAGGCAGCTGCCTGCCTGTCCTGGCACCACAGGCTGTGCTGCGCCAGAAGCTTCAGGCAACAGGCTTGGCCCTGGCCGGGAAGGGAGAGCACATAGGGATCTCGTGCATTGCCTCTGCCCCCAACACTAGCTTCGCACTCCCATTGGCTGCTGGCGGCTTCTGGGGTGCAGCATGGTCTGCGGTGCCAGGAGAAGCAGGAAACCGGCCTTAGCTCCCCCTCACAAAGTAAGCTCCTCCTGCCCCAGCCCTGACCTCCCCCAAAACCGGAGTTGACTTCTGCACCTCAAAGCTCTCATCCTCGGCCCCGTCCCAGAACCCACATTCTAGTCACATAATGTTGGGTCACAGGCATCAATACATTTTCTTCAACTGGCTCATGAGAAAAAAACGTTTGAAGCCCACTGGGCGAAAGGCCATCTTCCAGTTTTAATCAATAGACATGGACCAACTCCTAGCCAGAGATCCATCCTCATACCAGGAGCTTGCAGTCCAAACAGACTGGAAAAATCCACACCTCTGTGTGATGCTGTTAAATCAACCCAGGCCCTGGTGTAGACAGTGCGGCTACGTCTAGACTGGCATGATTTTCCGGAAATGCTTTTAACGGAAAAGTTTTCCATTAAAAGCATTTGCGGAAAAGAGAGTCTAGATTGGCACGGACGCTTTTCTGCAAAAGCACTTTTTGCGGAAAAGCGTCCGTGCCAATCTAGATGCGCTTTTGCACAAAAAAGCCCCGATCACCATTTTCACGATTGGGGCTTTTTTGCGCAAAACAAATCTGAACTGTCTACACTTGCCCTTTTGCACAAAAGATTTCTGCAAAAGGACTTTTGCCCGAACGGGAGCAGCATAGTATTTCTGCAAGAAGCACTGATTTCTTACATGAAATCGTCAGTGTTCTTGCAGAAATTCAAGCGGCCAGTGTAGACAGCTGACAAGTTTTTCCGCAAAAGCAACTGCTTTTGCGGAAAAACTTGCCAGTCTAGACACAGCCTGCTAGTAAGGCCTGGTGTAGACAGTGCTAGTAGGGCCTGGTATAGACAGTGCTAGTTGGGCCTGGTGTAGACAGTGCTAGCAGGGCCTGGTGTAGACAGGGCTAGATTGACGTGAGAATTCTCCTGTTGAAACAGTAACCACTTCTCAGGGAGTGGAGCATCTATGCTACGCCAATGAAACAACCTCTCCCATTGGTGTAGGCAGGGTCTACACTGCAGTGGTCCCAGGGCCCTGGGTGAGGCAATGCAGCTGCATTATTGTAGAATTTTAAATACAGACCTACCCAAAGGGCTAGCTTTGTGAAGGCAGTTAGGTGCCCGACTCCCATTACAATAAACAAGAATTAGGTCCCCACATACCTTTAAAAAATCTAGACTTAAAGGAACTAGGCCAGGAGGAGAGCAGGAAAATGGACCTAGATTTCGTACTTCCCAGCTCAGTTCCTTACTATAAATCCAACCCTCCTCCCTTCCACTGTTGTCTGAACCTGATAGGGACGACAAAGCGCAGACAGGGATTATGTTGGGGAGGGGGCAGTGCAGTGCTCTTTCCTTTGCTCCTCCTCCCCACCCCCGTCTGGGTAAGCAGCACTTCCTCCCAGCTCCCCCTCCTCTCTGTCTGCCTTAACCCCTGGCTTCAGGTTAATCCCTGCAGAATCATCCACATCATGGATCTGGGAGCTGTAAGGTCCCAGTCCCCTCTCGGGAGCCTTTGCACAGCTCTGAGCTGGCAAGAAGCACCAGGATGTTGTTAGGTCTCAGGCTGTGACCAGCAGTCACATTACCAATGTGGCACTGGTGTCACAACTACGCCAGTCCCCTGCTCTTCCGGTGGCTTCATTTGGGAATGTTGCTGTGGAACGTTGTCTCTCGGCCCAGACTGGCTCTTTCATCCCGGCACCAGGGCGGGGGCCATCATTGTGTAAGGAGAGCGCATTCCTCATTGCAGGGCCTCCCCTCCTTAGCTCTTCTGAAATCCGAGATCCCGATCCAGGGCTCCCAGTGGGATTTTCCTGAAAAACATTCCAGCCAGTTGTGCAAACATTCCACACATCTGGCTGGGGAGGGGGGGAAGGGAAGGAGAGGGTGAGCAGTGGCAGCCTGGATTTCCAGTCCCTTGTTTTCATGGCAATAACATCCTGCCTGGGTTTGTAGGTTCTGGGCTGCCTCTAGATCCCAGCCTGGGACCCTCTGCTCATTTACTGGGGTTTCTGGCCCTTGTGTCTCTCCTAGCCTGATCTGGGAGGGTGAAACTGAATCAGGGATAGCAGGCTCCATTCTGACAATCCCACCCTTACTGCCCAGAACTGGGCTGCATTGGATCCCATTGCTCTAGAAGTCGAGGGTCTGGCTGGGGCTAGGCAGTATGTCCTGGCTCAAACAGCTACTCTTGTTACCAAGAACAGAGTAGCACCTGGATTACAGCAGACACTGAATTCCTGGACATTTATACCTCGCTCGCAGGCAGGAGAGCGTGTGCATGTGCGAGAGAGAAAATGCATGCATGGGAGCAGAGCACTGGAATGGAGGAAGATACGGAACCATACATTAGAGACCAAGGGAGATTTTGTCTGGTGCTTCTTGGCACTGGTGAGGTCTCACCATTGTACTGTGTCCAATTCCAAGCAAACACATTAGGAAAGATGTGGATGAATTAGTGAGAGTCTAAGGAAGAGCAACAAAATAAAAGGACAAAAGAGGGGCCGTATTAGTGGAAGGATAAAATACAAAACAAGGGCCTGACTTCCCAGCCACTGCTGATGGGACTTAGGTTAGGTGGGTATCAAACCTGCTGAGGTGCTACTGAAAATCCCATTAGGTGCCCGCCTGCCTGCCTGCATCTTTAGAGGCCTAAATACCTCTAAAAATCTGGCTCTTGGGCTCAAAATGCAGTGAGAACATTAGGCACCTGCAGGGTCCAATCTGGGATACTGTGTGTGGAACTAGGCACATGGGACATGCCTACAGCCCCTTAGCTATAGTGGCTTAGCTACAGCGCTGTGGTGATGCTGGCATAGCCTGATAGCAGGGCCACATTCTATAATGCCCCTGGCTGTGTCTACGTTGAGGCTGAGGTGAGCGTACTCAGGGGTGTGGATTTTTAAGGCCCCTGAGCCCCTGAGCACCATGTCGAACTACATTTTACATATGTACCAGGCCTCAGACGCTGCCCCCCTCCCTACCCTATGATGGGTGTATTAGAAACACAGAGCTTGGTAGGGGAGATTATTAAATGCAGCAGAGGGCAGCCAGGGTGTTGATGACCCTAAAGAATCAAAGGGAAAAGCTTAGAGATTCTGTCCCATTCAAAAAAGGAACAGGAGTGGCTGGTGGAGGCTTTAGGGGCATTCTGGAAAGGACTGAGTTTGCTGGAAGTTGCCCCCCTCTTCCCCCCTGTGAAGTGGGGAGAAGAGGCAAGGGACTAGCGGAACTCCCTCCCATGAAGGGGGATGAGCCTATGGAACAAGTTACTGAGAGAGGGGTAGCAATGGGAGCTGGGCAGGGTGGGTAGATGAAAGAGGAGGAGGGGTGGGAGGAGGAGGAAGCTGGGAGGGGGGTGTAGATAAGATACAAAAGAGGTGTTGGAATGGCATGGGAGATACTATGATAGGGCCTTCGGAGGGGGGGTGGTAGTAGAGCACTTGGATGAGACTATGTGGCTTTTGCAATTTGGTCACTTTTCTCTTGTACTTCCAGCTGCCCTGAAATGTTCTGTCCAGGGGGGAAGAGGAAAATTGACCCCTCCCCCTGGGGCCCGAAACCCAGGAGTATCTGTGTGATGCCTGCTGATCTTTGCTCTCTTCTGTACACTCCTTGCTGTTCTCTCACCCTCGTACTCCAACTTGTTTGGGTGCTCAGGGCTCCAGTGTTTGTCCTATTGCCTCAATCGTGAAGCTGCCCATGACAGCACCCACAGCTGCGTGGAGGCAGGACATCCAGCAAGCTGTTCACTAGCCCATTCTATTCTAATGTCTCCCCTGGGGTCTTTCTTCTTGTCTTTGCCCCTTTCCTGGAAGCAAAAAGTCCCAAGATCCTTCATTCTGACAGCCAACCCTTGCAGAGTTAATGATTACATGGGGCTGTGAGTTAAGTGCTGCCTGGCGGAGCTTGAAGATACTTTCCCCTCCTCCCAGCTGTTTCTTGGAGATAGCAAAGGTTAGAGCCACAGTGTCCCAGGCTGTTGAGCGAGGCGTGGGAGACAGGCAGAGCTTTGGGGCTTCTGGGCCACTGTTGAGGTTGCCCTTAGGGATGCCGTGCTGTCTGTTCACCCATCTTGGCCTGAATGGACCCTGAACATGTTGTGGTACAGGGCTGCCCACTGAGCAGTGCCCCCTCCCTTTCAGTGTGGATGACATGGATTCCTGTGAGGTCTTTTCTGCGTGATCACCCCCCTCGCCCACCGTCACCAGCTGCCCTTGGCAATGGACGCGGGCACCTCTGTGTACAGTCCCTCTTCCTTCAGCTACCTGTCCAGGTGTGAGACAGGGGAGCGGGCTGTTGAGACCTGGACAGCTGCTGCCCCCACATCTGAATGCTCTGCACATGCACCACGGAGCCAGGAGGAGCCCACGGCAGAGGAGAGGTAGGACACAACATTGAGGGGAGAAGAAACTGGTAATGAGCCAACGCTTAGGAGGCTTGGATGGTTTGAAGTTGAGGGTGAGGGTGACAGTGACTAGGTGCCTTGGCCTTCCCTGAGGGCTGGCAAAAAGGGGCTGAAAGAGCATTTGAGGGGACGTGATGGTGGGCATGGGCAGGGTATAAGGGAGATAGCAAAGGGCAGCCCATAAATTTATAAACATATGGTCCTGTGGCGCCTTAGAAACTAACCAAAATATATAGAATCATGAGCTTGTGTGGGTAAAATCCACTTCCTCAGATGAACTGGAATGGAAATATTTATATATAAAACAGCAGAAGTTCCTGTCAATTATGGGACCTGTGTTAATGAAGCTAATTAAATGGCCTGGATGTGTCCCATTCTTAGCTGATGTTAAAGGCAGATGTTAAAGGCAGAAAAAATTGGGCATAAATAGGCTGTGTCTAAACTACATCTCTTTTCTCAAAAAAGGGATGTAAATTAGACACTTTGATATTGCAAATGAAGCCGGGATTTAAATTTCCCGTGCTTCATTTGCATAATGGTGGCTGCGTTTTTTTCCGAAACGGGGATTAATCTGCCTGGCTGCGTCTAGACTGGCCGCTTGAATTTCTGCAAGAACACTGAATTCCTACTGTCTGAAATCAGTGCTTCATGCGGAAATGCTATGCTGCTCCCGTTCGGGCAAAAGTCCTTTTGCGCAAAGCTTTTGCGCAAAAGGGCCAGTGTAGACAGCTCAGATTTGATTTGTGCAAAAATGCCCCGATCGCAAAAATGTCGATCGGGGCTTTTTTGCAGAAAAGCGCGTCTAGATTGGCACGGACGCTTTTCCAGAAAAAGTGCTTTTGCAGAAAAGCATCCGTGCCAATCTAGACTCTCTTTTCCGCAAATGCTTTTAACGGAAACCTTTTCCATTAAAAGCATTTGCGGAAAATCATGCCAGTCTAGATGTAGCCTCTGTGCCTCAGTTTTCCATCTGTAAAATGCGGCTGATAGTACTACTTGTGTGTCTTGTCTATTCAAACTGCAAGCTTTTCTTTTCCTGAGGGCTTGCCTTTCCCTGAACTTGTAACTGACATCATGTAGATATGCAGTAGTGGTGGTTGTAGTACCTGGGCATTGAATAACCGCAATAACATAATATAAACAAAACATAATTCTTCTCCCAGACTTTAAATACAAATACTGGCTTCACAGGCTTGTATGAGCTGTAAAGGTATAGAAACACGAACATAAATCCTGATTCCCTTTTCACCTTGCCCTGTCATAGGGTGCATGAAAAACTTAAAAAACAACAAATAGTCTAGTAGCACTTTAAAGACTAACAAATGTGTAGATAATTCTGCCTGAGTAAGGATTGCAGGAAATGGCCTTCAGGCGCGCAGAAGTGTGCCAGTCTCCCTCTGGGATGGGAGGGAAGCATCCACTGCAAAACAGTGGGAGGATAAGTTTGATCAGGTGGTATGAACCGACTACCTACCGTTTTCAGCAGTGACAGTGTCAGCTGCAGCTCAGACTACATCTAGACAGCAAACCTCTTTCAAAAGCGGCTTTCTGTCAGAATGAAGGATCCTGGGACTTTTTGCTTCCCGCGTCTAAACCGCTGCTGCATTCTTTTGAAAGTAAATCGAAAGAACGTGGCAGTTTTTTCGACTGCGGAAAACCTCGTTGTACGAGGAATAACGCCTTTTTTCAAAAGTACTCTTTCGAAAAATGGCGCTATATAATGCAAACTGTGCTTTTTCAAAAGAGAGCATCCAGACTGCTTGGGTGCTTTCTTTCGAAAAAGTGGCTTGCTTTTCTGAAAGTGCTGGTTGTAGTCTAGACGCTTTTTTTTTTGAATTTAGCTTTTTCGAAAGTATTGGGGGTTCTAGTCCCTACTCTGTGAGGACTTTGGGAGCACATGCCTAGTAGGGCAGGCAGGGGAAAGGAAGGGATTCTGGGAAGCAGGATTCCTGGGTTCCTTTTCTAGCCATGCCACTTCTCCCCTCGGTGCCTTTAACTTCACATTCATTGTACTTATACTGTATTTCAGTAAATATTGTATTGGCTGTTTTTGTTTGATTTGTTAAAATTGTGAGGCCAAAACAAAAAAAGTAATCCATAGTCTTCCATTGATATGTGTTTGAGTAGTTAAATTCCTGGACTGTCATTACTCCTTAAAAGTGCTGTCATACGGGTGGAAATCGGGTAAATATTGCATTTTATTAATATCATCAGAATGGACTTAAATGGGGCCTGCATGTTGTGTAGTCTTGCCTTAATCTTTGTATTCATGCCTGTCCATGTGAAAGAAACTATTTGCATATATTTGCATAATGGTTTGCATATATATTTGCTTATCTATGCAATCACACTTAAGTAGAGGCTCTCAGCATGTTCTGTGGGTATCATTGTGGCCCCCCGGGCTTCCAAAGTTGAGTAGCCCTGATCTAGGGCTTGTCCATGCAAAGCACACAAGCTTTTAGTTTGTAAAATTTCTTCTTAAAGACACTAAACTCCATGAAATTCACTGTGAGGAAGAGGAACTGGACTGACCCTTCAGGAGTTGTTGCTTAGGGCAGATCTTCTGGACTAGACTCTTGGGCTAATCAGCTGCCCATTATGGCCCTGGCAATGAGTGTGGAGGAATCTGAGATATTAAATACAATATGGCTGCATCTAGACTGGCTGCTGTCTACACTGGCCGCTTGAATTTCCGCAAGAACACTGACTTCCTACTGTCTGAAATCAGTGCTTCTTGCGGAAATGCTATGCTGCTCCCGTTCGGGCAAAAGCCCTCTTGCGCAAATGCTTTTGCGCAAGAGGGCCAGTGTAGACAACGTGGTATTGTTTTGCACAAAAAAGCCCCGATTGCAAAAATGGCGATCGGGGCTTTCTTGTGCAAAACCGCGTCTAGATTGGCACAGATGCTTTTCTACAAAAAGTGCTTTTGTGGAAAAGCGTCCGTGCCAATTTGGACGCTCTTTTCCGCAAATGCTTTTAATGAAAAACTTTTCCGTTAAAAGCATTTGTGGAAAATCATGCCAGTCTAGACGTAGCCTATGTCTATAATGTAATTATCATCATGCAGCTCTGGGCCTTCCTAGGGATGTAATAGTGTGGTCGATTAACCGATTATCCAATAAGCAAAAGTTCCTAGGTTAATGCTATAGACTACATGTATTTCCCTCCCCGCCCCCTTCCGGACAGGGGCTGCTGCCACCCTGCGCTGCTGCCTCTGTATCAGAGGCAGCAGCAAAGGGTGACAGGCAGCTGGTCCGCAAGGGGAGCTGGTTTTTAAACTGGCTCCCCTCATGGACCAGCTCTCATCTGACACCCCCTGCAGAGTGGTAGGGGGCTCTTTGGGAGTGGGGCACTGGCTGCCAGCCCCACCTCTGGGGACTATAGAATTCAAATGTAATTATCATCATGCAGCTCTGGGCCTTCCTAGGGATGTAATAGTGTGGTCGATTAACCGATTATCCAATAAGCAAAAGTTCCTAGGTTAATGCTATAGACTACATGTATTTCCCTCCCCGCCCCCTTCCGGACAGGGGCTGCTGCCACCCTGCGCTGCTGCCTCTGTATCAGAGGCAGCAGCAAAGGGTGACAGGCAGCTGGTCCGCAAGGGGAGCTGGTTTTTAAACTGGCTCCCCTCATGGACCAGCTCTCATCTGACACCCCCTGCAGAGTGGTAGGGGGCTCTTTGGGAGTGGGGCACTGGCTGCCAGCCCCACCTCTGGGGACTATAGAATTCATGAGGTTACTCAACTATTCAATTAACCGATATTTCACATCCCCAAGCCTGCCTCTGCAGATGCTTTACTTGCATAATACAGGGAGGGGTCACACACAGACTAGCCACTGAGTGGAGTCCCAAAGGTGCATGTGTGGGTGGGTGCGGGTGCTTCAACCCCCGCCCTTTGCACTTGCCCCTGTCTCCCAGCTGGGAAACAAAGGCCGGGCACTTCCCAGGGTCCTGCTTTGTCCCACAGCACCCGGATGAGGTGGAGCGGTTTGTTCAGCGGCGGGTGCGGGGAGCTCAAGGGAACCCAACTTAAAGCCCTGCAGGTGAGGGAAACCCCTGCAAGCCGAGGAGGGGGGGGGGGAGCAGCAGCAGCAGCCCCAGTGACTGAAGCCAAAAGCCCAGGCTGCTGCCAGCCAGGCCTCCCCAGGGATCTTCCTCCCGGGCCGCCCCCTAGCCCGGAGCCCGAGGCAGCGAGCGGCGCAGTCAGGCTGCGAGCTCGGAATTTTCAGCCGGGATCTTCCGCTCGCATCCTCCAGGGGCAGCGATTTCTGCCTGGGGGAGCCCGGGCGTTGGGTGCACTGGGGCCACTCTTCCTTCCCAGCCTGGTGGAAAGCAGCAAAACTTGCAGAGGGTCTCTAAAGGAAGAGCAGAAAGTGCCTGAAGAAGGAGAAAGGGTCCTTTGGTAGGTGCCAGGGGAGAAACACCCAGGCGGGGCAGTGGGGTGGCCAGCCCTGGATGCCTGGCTCTGGGTCACTGTCGCGCTGGTCCTTTGGCTCCCAGTTTGGAGGTTGTGGTGTAGAGTGTGATCTGTGCCAGCCCAGCTGTGTGCACAGGCATGGAGAGATGAGTGGGAAGAGGGTCTGTTTCCCCTGGAGTCTGCAAAGGGTTAGATCTGCTCACATGCAAAGCAGTGAGTATGTTAGATCCGCAGTGATGGGAGCAGGGACCTTAGTGTCTGCAGCGTTCACAAAGTTTCTAGAACCACAAATGGAGGAGGATGTTCTCCCGAAGTCACTGCTGTGCCCCCACGGAGCAGCCAGCGTGTCAAAATGAGGTGTGCAGTCCAGAGAGAGATGCTCTCTGTAGTTTCTTCTTATTCCACTTTGAAACCATGTTTATTCTTTAGAGAGTTTTTTTCCCCTCAGAAAGTGCTCTTTAGCGGCACATGAATGTGGCTGCTTGGAAGGCTGGGAAGAGGGTAAGGCAGAATCCACCAGGCAGGAGAAAGCTACCAGCATGCACGGAAGAAAGG